CTATCACAGCCGCCGCTCCCTCTTTCTTCACCCTCCATCGCCGCCTCCCCCTCTCATCTCTCTCTCTCCAGCGCCCCCCCCCCCCCCCTCCCCCTTTTCCTCTCTTTCTCCAGGGGTCAAAGCGAGATCTTTGTGCGGTGGTAAGAAAATTAAGCGGCATATATGCTTTAATTCTTCCCCTTTTCTATTCACCGACGCCGCCGCTTAAATCTACGGGATTTTCGGATTTTCCGGATCCGATCCCTAACCCAGCCCGATTCTTGCCCACAAGAATTGAGATTAAAGGTACGTTTTGTTTCATTTCATATTTATTTTTGTTGTTCTTAAACATTGTCCCAACGAAGGTGTAAACCACAAATTTTTCGAGTCTGCAAAATATAATAAATACGAGACAAGAAAAATAGGGAACAAATAAATTTATTAATCAAACGAAAGCGGATTACAATCTCCGTGAATTCCCTTGATTCTTCTCTCCTATTCTAGATTTTGATTCAAGGGCTTAAAAGCTTGTTCTTGAATAGAACATATGATTTCCTATCACGAACACCTCGAATTCAAATATGTTATGAATTCGATAGATTTGACTCAAGGGATTAAAAGCTTGATCTTGAATCGATTGACTGATTTCCTATCACGAACACCTCGAATTCAAATATGTTATGAATTCGAGGCGGAGGCTCGAGACTTGAGCTTGAGAGCTCGATATGTGTTTGTGTGAGTCTTATTTTTAGATGCACCAAAGATCTTCTTTTATAGGCACAAGCTAGGGTTAGGGTTTCTTGACTTGCATAGTGGGCCAGACATTTTAAAGCCCAAATATGTTATGGACTTTAATTTGAGACCTAAATTAATAACCGATTTATTTTGGTTATTAATTAGTAATTTATCTCAAAATTTTGATGTCTACAAATGCCCCCACTTCTAGTCTCGGCGAAGAACATGTCGAGTAACTATGGGACGAGACTTGAAGTACTTAAGTTTTTTTTTTCTTTTTCAAAACCCATTTCTTCAAATTTGGGGTTCATTTGTAATTTCTCCCTTTTGATTGGCTGGCTTAAACGTAGTATATATTGGCTTTCCGAATTTGAGGCGCAAATGACATTTCTTTCTTTTCCATTTAGGGACCCAATTGCAATTTTGAAGATTTGGCTAACAATTGGATTCAGCTTCCTCTTTTGCCCTATTTCAGAATTTTGGCCACCATAACCTGACCAGCTTCTCATGGAAAACATCTTTTTAATTTCCCACGCACTTCGGATACACTATAAACATCGGCATCGAGGAGCAATTCCCACGCACTTCGGACACACTATGAACATCGGCATCGAGGAGGAGCATGGGATTTCTTGGAGGCAGCATGGATTTCCGGGAGAAGAGGTTTGCATCGGCAGGATTCGGTGATGACTCCGACGACTGATTTAGGCGGCAAAGTGGAGTACGATGGTGGAATGGTCACTGCCTATTGCCTAGTGTCTCTGGGAAAAGATGAGGCAGTCCAGAGACGGCGGATTTGAGAGAGCAAAAGTTTGCAGTGGCGGCAATTCCGGACTGTTACACGGCGGTGCAAGTTTCTTATGTGAATCCACGAAGCTCAGCAACAAAGAAGCGACAGCAGATTTTAGTGGCCGGAAGCCGGCACTGGCGGGACGTCGCCGAGCACATTCGAACAGCCTTCTTGTTTGCTAGTGGTGGAGAGAATTGTTCGTAGCTGTTGCGGCTGTCATGGCAGTAGACCATGCCCCCTCCATTTTTTTTTTTCGGCCATCACTGTCGAGAAAGAAAATCTTTCTTTAAAAATATCCTTGCCAATATTTAAACTCTTCGTAGCAAGTTTGCTATTAGAATCACAAATTTCCAATTGGGGGCTTGGGGACTTGATTTGATGCTCCCAGGATTTAAATCCTTGTTAGGAATATAGAGGATATAATTATAATCCACATATTCCAGCAAAGAAATTTTATTTTCTCCAATCAATTTATGGAACTTTCGGTAGCCTTCTTTTGTGACAAGAAAAGTCTCCTTTAATTTTCTTTGCCCCCGTTGATAACTGACCGACACAGCATAAATATTTGGACTGCAAAGAAGGGTCGAATGGACGTGCACTTTGACATCGGAGGAAGAGATGAGGGGTAAAGATCGTCCCACCGGCCGTGCCAATTTGTAAACCACAGATTTTCGAGTCTGCAAAATATAATAAATACGAGACAAGAAAAATAGGGAACAAATAAATTTATTAATCAAACGAAAGCGAATTACAATCTCTGTAAATTCCCCTGATTCTTCTCTCCTATTCCAAATTTTGATTCAAGGGCTTAAAAGCTTGTTCTTGAATCGAACATATGATTTCCTACCACGAACACCTCGAATTTAAATATGTTATGAATTCGAGGAATCGAACATATGATTTCCTATCACGAACACCTCGAATTCAAATATGTTATGAATTCGAGGCGGAGGCTCGAGACGTGAGCTTGAGAGTTCGATATGTGTATGTGTGAGTCTTACACTAGGCCAAAACGCAAGACTGGCGATGAAATTTAGCGACGAATTCTGTCTCGTAGCGACGTTTTTAACACGGTTAGCAACGTTTTATTTTCGTCGCTACATCAGTCATAAATCGACGCCAAATGCCCCGTCGCAAAGTCAGCGACGAAACCACAATTGCGACGCCTAAGTGTAGTGACGAAAATGCGTCCACACGCCACGGCACGTGCGCTAATTGAGCTGCAGTGCCTCTGGATCATTAGCGACGGATCATTC